AACTTAATAGTTTTAGCTTTTACATTTAAGTCTATGATAATTCAGTTGTATTTTGTACATCTTCTGATTGCATCTGTTTTCTCAGTAAAATATGAACTGAAATCATCAGGAGTGGGTATAGTACAATGGAGTTTGAAGAGAGGATGGTGTAAAACTGTGGGAGAGTGAATAGATTGGGGGAACATAATCAAACAGCAGAGCCTCCTTGAGACTTGGGTCATAAATTCTAATTGAGACTTGTCTCCAGTCACACCCCCTGCTTGGATCTAGGGGAAGAGGAGGCAGAGAGCTGGGTTTTGCCAAGCCAGTATGACAGAGGGGCAAGGATGTTGAGGATATATGCAGATGAGGGCAGGGCTAATGGAGTGAATGCTGTGAGGGGTGGTTGTGCTCTAATCCTCTATTACCCTGCAGCCTACAATCCACCCTTTTCTGCTGTAAAAGGCAAACCTCTGCAGACTGCACCCCTGAGGCTCCCTTGCCCTCTGACTTCTCATTGAGTTTGGCCAAAGGAAGGAACTAGCCAAAAGTCAGAGGAGAGTTTTGGGGATTTATTGTTCCTTGATTCCTCCTTGCCTTACTTCTTCTGGAAGTGGCTGTGTTTTCCTGTGGTCATAGCCCCTTTCGGATAGCCTTTTTCTCACTGTTCCAGCTCTTCCTGGGCTCTTCAGGCTGTTGGTGGTCATGGCTTCCCACATTCCTAATCATTGGGAGCTTTGTTCCCCCCACCTGCCCACTTCTCTGTGAACAGGCCCTTCATTAAACACTCTCCAGCTAAATGCTTCTGAACATGCCATCTATTTCTTGCCAGTTCTCTGACAGATGCAGAGGACAGAGAAACAGTACTAGGGCCTCTGAATGGGGGGGGGTGCCCATGGGGTTGAGGATAGTTAGAGTGAGACTCATTTGTTGAGAAGGAAGGGGTAGGGGAGTGAGATGCTGGGAGTGAGTTGTGCAGTCATTGGCCCTGAAATGGTAAGGGCACGATGAAGGGAGGGTGTGCTGTGGTGGATGGTGGAGGAATGCAGCAGAAGTGAGGAGTTAAGCTTAATAGTTTAAGGCTAGGGTGCCACACTTTACATGGAAGTTCAGTCACCAAGAATGACTGAAGGGATAGGATGGGAAGGGAGCCAGGGAATGAGCCAGGTGCTAACGTCTGACACAAATGAAAAGGAGTCAGAGTTTAGTAGCTGATTGCCACAGGGGGATAGTGGGTGGTATATTTGGAGGGCATGGGCTTCCAAAAGAGCTGGCGTTTTTCAGCAAGGGAGGAAAACTGTCATCAACCATAAGGCTCATGAAAAACACCCACTCCACCCCTGGGCTCTGTGGTATGTAAGGAGTGGGAGGGAAGAAACAGCCACCTCTTGACAAGACATGAAGGAAAGCAGGTTTCAGTTTTCAGTTAGAGCTGTAGCCAGGTTTCTTAGTATGAAGGTGAAGAAGATATTCAGTAAGTGGTAAAAGGTGTGGAGGATTTGGCAGATGACACAGCTGGGGCCCTAGGGGGGTAAAGTAGAAGGGTTGAGAGGCCAGGAGGGTGGCTTTTAGTTGAAGTCATTAAAGGGATGAATAGAGTCATTTGGGGAAGAGAAGTTGGAGACAGTGGATGACACTGGAGGTTTGCTTCTAGAGGGTACCAAGGTAGAAAATGTTCTAATTCATAGTGGAATTATCCTGATGGTCTTTTAAGGGGAAGCAGGGACTCTCTTCTAATTTTAACTTCCTTTTTAGGATTGACCTCTTAAGGAGTTTATAAGAAGGGGTGACTGCCATTGAATCCTCTCAGGGTGAGTCATGGTAGTGGGGAAAGTGGTCTTACCAAGGTCCTCGGGGCTCTGGAGGCTTCTTTTAAATACACTGGGTGCTCAGGTATGTCCCACCCTGGAGGCCATCGTGTGTTCAGCACAGTGCTGACTGCAGTACTGCGTGGTGTACAGTAACCACATTCTGGATAAGTGACTTTTGGCAAATGTAGCTTTGGCCCTCAAATGTTGGGATACTCAGGATATGTTCAATGATTTAGAAAAGGACAAAAGGCAGATTGTAAAATCTTTGGCGCAGGGTTGCTCTAGTTAGAAATATGAAAGAAACAGAAAGAGTATCTTTGCCCTAGAAGGGGTTATCTCTAGTTGGCCATCTAAGACCTATATGAGGATGAAAAACTTGTGAGATGATGTGAGAGTAAAATGCAAGAAGGTGCCTGATAAAAGTGAGAACGAAAATGGGACTGTAATATTTCAACCTCTCCTAGAAGCCAAAAGGATGAAGAGTGAGGAGCTATTTGTTGCATGCGCACCGCATGCCTACCACATCCTACCAGTATTTTGCTTTCACACAGGTTGTAGCATTTAGTCTTCACAAAAACCTTATGAAATAGGTGTTACAATTATAATTTAAAAAGGGGAAACTGAGGCTCAGAGAGGTTAAGTAATTTGCCCCAAATCACAAGGCTAGTAATTTGTTTGCTAAACTCATTTTTTTTGAGATTTGTTTGTGTGTGTGTGTGTGTGTGTGTGTGTGTGTGTGAGAGAGAGAGAGAGAGAGAGAGAGAGAGCCTGTGCACCAGCAGCGTGGAGGGGCAGAGGGACCAGGAGATGCAGACTTCCTGCTGAGCTGGGAGCCCGATGCAAGACTCAGTCCCAGAACTCTGGGATCATGATCTGATCTGAAGGCAGATGCTTAACCGACTGAGCCACCCAGGTGCTCTGCTAAACTCATTCTTATTTCATGTAAGTACTCCTCCAGGAGCTTCACTTCCCAGGAAGATGCTCAACTTCTAGAGAGCAATGAGTGTCAACCTAATCCATTCCAGGGGATAATTCTGTCCTGATAGAAACACAGCACATTTCTTTTTTTGAAAGCAGGTCATTGATCTGTTTACATGCCAGTGTTTCATCATTTACAGTAAGTTTTTAAAATATAAAATTCAATTCATATTGTACGGAAGAAATTATTTATATATTTTTAAAGATTTTATTTATTCATGAGAGACAGAGAGAGAGAGAGAGAGGCAGAGACAAGGCACAGGCTCCATGCAGGGAGCCCAACATGGGACTCGATCCCCAGTCTCCAGGATCACGCCCTGGGCCGAAGGTGGTGCTAAACCGCTGAGCCACCCAGGCTGCCTTATTTTTTTTTTCTTAAAAGATTTTATTTATTTATTCATGAGAGACACACAGAGAGAGGCAGAAACATAGGCAAAGGAGAAAGCAGGCTCCATGTAGCAAGCCCGATGTGGGACTAGATCCCAGGACTCCGGGATCATGCCCTGAATCAAAGGCAGACTCTCAACCGCTGAGCCACCGAGGCATCCCAAGAAATTATATTTCTATGAGGAAGCAAATTCACTCCATTAATAGTTGGAGATTATGTAATTTCCTTGAGGATAAATTTTACTGCTCTGGAAACTGTAAGCCAAATTTATAATGCAGTGTTGTTGCTAGTAGGAAAGCCTGGCAAGAGACGACACATCCACCTGGAGGATATGGCCATTGAGGGAGAGCTGGCTGGTAATGGTTATGAAAGTCTGTGACCCACCTAGACCATTTCTGTGTGCCACCAGGGCTAGAACTGTGATCTTCTGACTCTAGAAGCTTGAGGGACTCAGCGTAGACTTTCTCTCTTTTGTTATTTTTTAAATTTAAATTCAATTAACCAACATATAATACATCGTTAGTTTCAGATGACTTTCTCTCCTTTAGCCTATAGCTTATTTCACTTTATTTAATCTTGCTTTATTTAACACATCAAGGGCCTGAATCAAAGCTTCTCTGGTAGAAGAGAGATCAGTTTCAGAGAGGGGTGCAAAGTGAAGATATGGAAATGAGAATGTAAATGCTTCCAATAAGTTTAACTTTGAAGACGAAGAGAGAGCAGAATATGTAACTAAAGAGGAAAAAATGAGTCGATTAGATTTTGTGTTTGCTTTTTCTTTAAAGATTTTATTTATTTGAGAGAGAGAGAGAACACACGCACAAGCCCACAAGCCCAGGGAGGAGCAGAGGGACAGGGAGAAGCAGACTTCCCATTGAGCAGGGAGCCCAATGCTGGGCTCCATTCTAAGACCCTGAGATCATGACCTGAGCCAAAGGCAGACACATAACTGTCTGAGCCACCCAGGTGCCCCTTGCATTTGCTTTTGAATGATGTGACAACAGCGCATGTTTAGATGACGAGGGAAGGATGAGAGGGAGAGGCTGAAGACACTGGAGAGATGGGAAAAGGTGGGAATGATGGACTGAGGTCTCTGGGGTTTGGGATCTACCAGAACATAAGTAGAGGATTACATTTACATAGAAGGGGACACCAGTTTTCACACTGAAAGGAAGGAGAAGAGGTCACTAGAGACAAGGCAGTCATGGCCATGAATGGAGGTTCTCCCACATGGGTGATGAGATCAGGAGAGGAGCAAGGAAGACTGGGAGCCAGAATCCTTTTCTGGATGAATGAATGAATGAATGAATGAGGAGACTAATGGCAGTAAGGGTGGAGGGAAAGATGGCTGAAGGAGCAGGGGTTTCTCAGGAGTAGGGTGGCACTGTAATGGTTTGGAAAGGGAAGGGATTGTCAGCTGCACCTAAGAGAGCTGAAGGAAATTGGTAGTTTGAAGGGAGGGCTATGATAGAGTCATAGCAATTGGTGAAGGGGATGTTTGGTGTAACAGTTGAGGATGTAGGGGAGTTTGTTTGTAATGGAATGGATTATGTTAGTCATGATTCTCTCAGTTGCAAGTGACTGAAAAGAAGATATATTGGGCTAAAAGTTACAAGAGTAAAAAAAAAAAACTTCGGGAACTGGAGTGCATTGTGGATCTTAGAAACTAGAACCAGGGGCACCTGGGTGACTCAGTAGTTGAGCATCTGCCTTTGGCTTAGGTCGTGATTCCAAGGTCCTGGGAGCGAATCCCACATCAGGCTCCATGCCGGAAGCCCTCTTCTCTTTCTGCCCGTGTCTCTGCCTCTCTCTGTGTGTCTTTCAGGAATAAATAAATAAAAATCTTAAAAAAAAGAAAGATACTAGAACCAGGCATTTGACATCATAGGGACGCTCAGCATATCTCCTTTTTTTCCTGTCTCTTGTTTCAGCTTGCTTCATTCTTCCCTTACAAGGTAAATGGACTGTATTTACATGGCAGAGAACATGGCCACTTGGAAGTTCTGTCAGAATAATCCCAAAGAGATACCTAGACTCATCTGGCTTGGGAGCATGATCACTTCTGGGTCAATTTTTGGTCGCTCATTTTGGTCACGTGCTTTTCCCTGTGGCTAGGGTGAGTTTATTACTAGGTGTGGAAGAAGGGGTGTTGGACAAATAAGAATGAACCACCAGAGGAACTCCAGGGAACATGGTGTAAAAGTTCTGGGGGTAGAGGAACAGCAGGAAGTGGTTAGATCAGGGGAGAAAAATCCAGCAGCAGCATGAACATGAGTGAATGAGAGTAAGAGAGGATGGAGTGACTTGTGTTTGAGGCAATGGGTGAGGATTCTGGGGGTGTCTTTGGCAGACACAGAAGAGAGGGTCTTAGTTTGGAATTTGTTATGCTTTTAGGAGGGTCCTAGTTCTCAGGAACAGACAGGAAGATGGTAGTAGGTAAGCGGTTCCTGGGGAGAGTGTCACATGCAAATCATAGCAGCAGACTTGGGGGATTCTTCGTAAAATAACTGAGCAATTTTATCTGCCAGGGAGGCCACCTAGTAGGTCACTCTCACTTGAGAATGAACTAATGAAAGCATCTTTCTGTGCAAAATGCTTTCCTAAGGGGTCTCTAACATTAGAAGGCCTTCTGCCTCAGGGAATTTGTGACTAGTTGAACTGAGTTGATATCTTGTAGCCATCAAAAATGGTAGATGGCTTGGTGCCTAGTAGAATCAAGGTCCTGGGGTGGTAGCCAAGGATTCTTTGGACCTGTTTCCTTATTTTAATCAGCCTGTGTGCTCTAAGACAAAACTTACAGCACAGATGAGAACAACCAAAAAGTATGTAATTTGTTGCAGCTTCCCAGGTGCTGTTGATATACATTAATTCTAACTTCATTTCAACCTAGAACCTACTGTTCTTCCTATTTAAAATAAGGAAACAGAGGTTCAGCAAAATAGTTTAAGATTTTACAACCATTAGATTTTAATTCCCAAGATGAAGAATGTGTATTTTACTTTATAAAATATCATAATCTTATGCAAGATTTTACTAGAGAATAAATTAGGTGTTTTGTGGAGCTTAATTGGTATAAATCAAAGTGAAATAATAATAAGTGAATATATTCTGTTAACAGTAACAACAAAATAATAGAAACTAATTTTTATTGGGTATCAACCACTGTGCTAAACACTATGGATAATTAATACTCATAACAACTAATTGAGTTAGGTACTGTTATCATTTGTTTTCTATAGATGAAGAATTGATTGTACAAATACTATTTTTTTAAGATTTTATTTATTCATGAGAGACACACACACACACACACACACACAGAGAGAGAGAGAGAGAGAGAGAGAGAGAGAGAGAGAGGCAGAGACACAGGCAGAGGGAGAAGCAGGTTCCATGCAGGGAGCCCGATGTGGGACTCTCTCCCAGGACTCCAGGATCACGCCCTGGGCCGAAGGCAGGCGCTAAACTGCTGAGCCACTCAGGGATCCCTGGACAAATACTACTTCTAAACCATTACCACGATGAATAGAAACAAGAATAGGTTATATAGGGGGAAATCAGTTAGTAGTTTATTTTGGTTTGGGGCATAAGCACTGAGCATGGGGAAAGAGAAAGGGCTCTGTCCCTGAGACTGTGGCAAATGTTTAGTTTTGTCCCTGTGAAACAAGTCACTTTTATTCCCTAGGCAATTTATCGCTCCTTCTGAGTATCACTCATAACCACTGGCATTTTCTTTGGTTTTCAGATTGCATCTACATCTTCAAATTACAGCACAAATACTGCTCTGCTAAGTGGAGTGAGAATTAATAGACCTGAGTGACCAAGGACTAATTCAGCTTGAGGTGTGGAAGAATGGTGATGCTATTTACCCAAAGGGTAAGTTGGGAGAGGATAGTAATCAGGAATGTGAAACTGTGGATTGCATTGAGTTTCTACACATTGATGTGTGGTCTTTGGGAGACAGCCAAATGAAGAGTTTCTGCAGTTAGCAAAGGATTTAGGCCTGGGGCTTTGGTGAATGATTCAAGCTCAAGCATACATCTGGAAATTGTTCAGCATGATAATCCACTAAAATGGATTCAATCTTTGAGGTGGTAAATAAAAGAAGAACAATGTTATTTAGTCTTGGGAGTACCCACAGCAATAGGCTGAAAGGGGATTGGGAGCTTAATTATGTATATGGCATTTAATAACAATGATTTTCAGAGTGTTTTTCAAACAGTAATTTCCTGTGAAGCCTCCATACAACCTGGACTGAATGATGAAATTTTTAAATTCTATAATCCTAATAACTGATTTATTTTAGGCTTAAATGCTCTTGCAAGGAATGTGCTGGTCCAAAGGACAATGTTATTATAAACTATTTCCTCTGAAGTTGAAATTCATTAAAAAAATACTGAGACAAGTAATAAAATGGGGGAAAGAAAAGGAGAATAATTATATTAATGAACTGAATTCTGGGGTGCGTGGTGGCTCAGTTGGTTAAGCCTCTGACTCCTGATTTCAGCTCAGGTCATGATCTCAGAGTTGTGAGACAGAGCAAGTTGGGCTCTCACCAGGAGTCTTTTGGGATCCTCTCTCTCCCTCTGCCTCTTCTCCCTTCTTAAATAAATAAATAAGTCTTTAAAAAAAAGGAACTGTGGGCAGCCCGGGTGGCTCAGCGGTTTAGCACTGCCTTCAGCCTAGGGTATGATCCTGGAGACCCGGGATCGAGTCCCACATCGGGCTCCCTGCATGGAGCCTGCTTCTCTCTCTGCCTGGGTCTCTGCCTCTCTCTCTCTCTCTCTCTCAAATAAATAAATAAATAAATAAATAAATAAATAAATAAATAAATAAAAATTAAAAAAAAAAAGGAACTGTATTCCAAGAAAAATGGATTCAAGACTAGGTTCCAGGAAGTCAAGGCAAAAAGTGATCATGGTGAATTATCTATAGACATCATCCCATGCACAGTTTTTGAACATGGTCAATTATTAGTATCCCATGGATCCTCTCTCTCCTGGAGATTCTCATGAATGGGTCTTACATGGAATCTGGGAAGCTGTGTATATTTAAAAATTTCCCCAGGTGATTTAGATGGTCAGCCAAATTGGACAAAAACTAGTCTAATAAAGGAAACGTACCAGTTCACAGGAGAGAAAACCTTTTATCTAGTTCTGAAATCTGAAAGGGGTTTTGTTCCATGGATACCAAAGAACATTGACTAATAAAATAGACAATGTTCTCAATAGCATTAAAAAGACACCTGAGATTTTGTGTATATCTCATGCTAACCTTTGACAAATAAACACAAACAACACAATACTAAATTAGAATTCTGTTGATGTAGGAAAAGAATAATCTGAGTTGAGAGAAAAAATTGTATTCCTTGGTCCTCTTTAGAAATTCTGATTCAGTAAATCTGAGTAGGGCCCAGAAATGTGCATTTGAAATATTCAAGTGTCCCAGTTGATAGGAACACAAGTTGTCCAAGAGTACATTATGTGTTGAGAGGATGGATGGCTAATGGTGCTCCTGGGAGTTTCAGGTTTAGATATAAAATCTTGAGATGTACCATTTGTGACAGACATTTTTACATTTTTCTGAAAACTGATTTAGAGGAAGGAGGCTGGATTATTTTTTTCCACAAAGTCTGCTGGGAAGACTTCTGTGGTACAAAACCAGAGAGCTTCTGTTAGTGAAAATTCTTCAGCCCTTGGGAAAATGTGAAAAGCATAGGTTGCCTCATTATGACTCAAGATTAGCTGTCAATCTCACTCTTAAAGGAGGAAATGGATACAGAATGGATTAAAATCTCATGGAATCAGAGCAACAAACATGGGAACACTAATTGGTCTTTTGGTAGAGATGCACCTTCTTCCAACATAAGTACCAAAGATATCATGGTATTAGTATATTCACGCACAAAATAAGGTCATATACATGTTGTAGCCTGCTTGTTGCAGCCTAATTTAGATTTGGAAGCCTCCGATTTGGAAAAATATTTTCTTCAGGAGAGTGCTTCTTTGGGGTCATGAGCCACCCCACAGCTCTTAAAAACACTAAACATAAGTGAGAGGCTCTGTCATATGTTAGCTTTCCTGCAGATTTTGTCATGGGTTAACTAAACTGACCATAGAGAAAGGGTTAGCTGAGGTCTCTGAGAGAGGCAGAGTCTTTTCCTTTTTACATTGGCTAGTTACTGAATCCAAAATTCAGTTTAGATCTCAATAGGAGAAACTCGAACTATGCTAGATCTTTAATTCTGTACTATATTATGACTGGAATACAAAGTTGGGATCTACCATACAGCTATAAATAGCACTCTGCTGGATTCGGGTGACCTCGGGTCTAGTTATCTTTAGATGGTTTTCATACTGCCGTGAGACTTTAAAGGCCACAGACAACCTCCTTTGACTCCAGTTCATCTTAATTCTTCAGGTTCTCCAGGATACTCAGTGCAGGATTTCCTCTTAGGGAAAACTTTATGTTTGAGATTTGTATCGACTAAGGAACATGAACTTGAAGATTCTTATTCTTCGGGCTAAGAGAACTGTAAATAAGCACGTATCTCTCATTGCTTCCAATGCCTGATCATTTTTGCAGGAGAAAATTCTGTGACAAAAAAGTGTTTGCTCCATTGGACCAAAAGAGTTGGAACTCACCCATTGCATAGTATCAGTATTTTGACATTAGTTTAAAAAAACGTTTAGTTTATATCAAAATATTTACTTAAATATTAAATAGTACTAACAGGAAAACCATCTCCCAATTTCTTTTTGTTTCTGAGATGCTTTTTCTGGCATTAGTAAAATGCTTATTTTTCTATTTTCTGATGAGTCAATTTTAGACTTTATGGACTTTTTGTTATCTGAGGTGACGATTTAGCATTCTCAATCCCGTTTCTTTTCCTCTTATTATTCTAGAACATAATTCCTAGTGTTTACATTATTGCCTATGAAAAATTGCAGTGACAGATACTATTCTCTAATCATTGCTTCCTAGTGTAGCTGTTTTTTTGGAATCCAATGATTGCCTCCTTTTCCCTCCACAGTATAGTTTTCTTCTAACTGATCATTATTTCAGTTGTTCACCTAGAGCTGTTGTATCACTACCAGTTTTTTCCTCCCAAAGGCTCAAACATCACAGATAACCAGTCAGTTCCCTTTTCCCCTCTGGAGAGCTCACTCTGAGCCCCCACTTCCTCTTACTCCAATTGAGAGCAGGTTTTGGGCACACCTCTTAGAACTCACTTTTGACATTTTTCTATGTTGGATTAACTGTTTTAATTGTGTGTCTTTCTTTTTCTTGTTCTTCTGGAGTACCTTATCCAGCAGTTCCTTAGAAGTGCATGGCAGATATACTTTTTGAGACCTTGCGTTCACATGATTGGTTGGTTGGTTATAAACTTCTAGGACAAATAATTTACTCTCTCAGATTTTTATTTTATTTTTTATTTTTTTTTAAAGATTTTTAATTTTATTTATTCATAGAGACACAGAAAGAGAGAGGCAGAGACACAGGCAGAGGGAGAAGCAGGCTTCATGCAGGGAGCCTGACGTGGTTCTTGATCCCAGGTCTCCAGGATCACGCCCCGGGCTGCAGGCGGCACTAAACCCCTGCGCCACCAGGGCTGCCCTCTCTAAAATTTTAAAAAAAGATTTTATTTATTTATTCATGAGAGACGCGCAGAGAGAGAGAGGCAGAGATATATAGGCAAGGGAGAAGCAGGCTCCCTCTGGGGAACCTAAGGCGAGACTCAATCTCAGGACTCCGGGATCATGTCTTAAGCAGAAGGTAGACACTCAAACACTGAGCCACCCAGGTTTGCTGCTATTTTCAGTTTTTTTTTTCTGGAACCCCTATTACCTTCTGGTTTCCTCCCAAAGTCTTCTATGTTTTCCCTTCTGTTTTCTATCTTTGTTTTGTTTTGTTTTCCAAAGACTTTCTCAACTTTGTTTCCCAAAATTTATCTTTATTTTGGTTATAATTTTCACTTCCTAAGGCTTTAGAGCTGTTTTTCATAGTATCCTATTCTGGTTTTATAAATTATAATACCTTATCTCTCCTAAGAATCCTAGTAATTAAAATATTTTTTCTTACACTGACTTTTCTCCCTATTATTTTTTTTTTCATTTTGATGAACTTTGGATTCGTTTATATTAAGAGATATTGATTGGAAACTGTATATATGTGTGGGTAGGTGTATGGGAGGGTTTGTCAAATAGTAGGCTTCACATAGGGAGATGCGGACGTTGTTGTAGAACTGACATAATATAAATGTATGTAAAGGTTTTTTTTTTGTTGTTGTTGTCTGTATCATTCACTTTCTCTGGGGATGAAATTGCCAATCTCCTACCTAGCATTCATCTACTTGGAAGCCACTGTTCTGGGAACAGGTAAGGAAGGAAAGGAGACTGGAAGTTTACTGTCCTTTCACTTAATTTTTTTCCTGCCTTTCACTTCCAAGAATAAACTTTAGTTTCTTTTTTGGGGTAGCAGTTGCCTGGCTGTGTAGCACTCGGGTATGTTGCACATATAAGCTTTCAACAATCCCACTTTTAGAACAGAGCACTGCCCCCACCTTCTGCAGCACCTGGTGCCTCTAAGTCCTAACTTTTCAAGGGGTTGTTAGGGTGAATTGGCTTTCATCCCTCCTACAGCAATTTTAGGCTATAGTTTATCACTACCCTGGCTCTATCTGCAGTCTTCCAAAATTTGGTTATAATCTGTGCAATCCCCTATTGTACGGTCTTCTCTATTTTTTTTGTATCTATAACTCTGTATACTTAGAATGTATTTTTTTATTGGGTCTTAGAAAGGAGTAGCAATAAACATGTGGTAAATCTGCCACAAACAGTACTAAATAGAATTACATTTTCAAAGAAAAATGCTTA